TGTTCAGTTTGTTGAAAGGTGTGGTAAAATTTGGGACCATGTGAAGGACTCCACCTCTAGCTGACACAAACTCAGAAGTGAGAACTGTCAGGATATTCGAACTTGTGACATTGAACAGAAATAATATGGGTGTTGATATTGACGGTAGGACTGTGCCAAACAGCAGACGGGACAGTGGGAATGATATGGCTGGCTCTAAAACATGTCGGTTCAAATCCGACATGTAAGTAAAACAGTATACAGAGGAAATACTGGATACAAATGGACAACGAAGGCTGTCAGGCTATAAAGATCAGAAACCTAACGATTGGGAATAGACATGAGGGCGCTGAAAATATAAAACAAATACAGACAAATACAGTTACAATACAAATACAGGCAAAGAGCGTTCAGACAACGCATAACGGGCCTCCACGGTTGCAAGTGCACGTATGCTATCTAAACTCATGCCTATGATATGCGTATAGTGTAGTAAAGTCATACACAAAAAACGGAAAATCACAATGTAAGCCGAACGCTGTTAACCATTTCCTGGAAAGAACTAACTGGCACATTTATTGATGTGATCGACGTTAGCCATGTGGCTCGGCAGCATGAAATCTGCCCTAGATGTCCATATGCAATTACAGGCAATACTAAGTCCCTCTCACGAAACACGAAGACATACAGCAACAGACATAAGCCGTGATGAATGGATATGCATGTAGCCTGTAGCGAATGGTGCTAGGTATAAGCAAGCTATTAACAGGCCGTGGTATAAATTATTAATAGGATTTCTCATTGGGTAGAGTGAAGAGATAGAAACAACGCTGTGTAAAAAAACATAGGGAATTAATCTATTCTTTGGAAGCTCGTGTTAACCCACAGTTCGAACACTTTGACTCCTGTGCGGGCGCAACGAACTTCATCTTACAAAGGCTTTGTCGCAAGAGGAAGCTATGAAAACCTAACTTGGCTCCATCCGGATAGTAGATGCACTGATTACATCTTCCCCGTTTGACAACTCCTAAAGCACCATCTAACGCATGTATCAAACGGAAGTATCTGATTATTCTATGGCGGTGCTTTGAGGAGAAAGTTTTCTCAGAATGCGGGGCAAAATTCTTGTCACAGTGCAGTACTTTTCATACTCGAATACTCCTTAGAACATGCAATTCCACAGATGTAATGTTGTGGATTCATCACAAAAACTGATGAACATCAGGAGTGATCTTCAATCCTTCTTTCTGGCTTTAAAATCACATTTTCAATGAGAATGTTGTTATATATTACACCCCTAGAACGGAGATTTTTCCCAAATGGCATACAAATCTGGAGCATGCTGACAATATTGACCCATTGCTTTCAGATTCTATCCCTATACAAAATACGCAAATTTTCTAGAAATTGTCGCCATGTATTTCGGTATACCTTTTGTACCTTCAAAGTACTGTTAAAAATGGGGTAAACATGCCGGCAAATTTTATCGTGGCATTAAATTTAAAATAAAAAATGAATAAGTTCTCCTATCTGGGCGAAAGCATTTCGTTGAATAATAGCAATGCTGAGAAGGTAATGCCAGAATCGCCAAAATCCGTTTTGGTCTCTTTCAACTTAAGCACTCTGGGATTAACATGATACTAGCATTTCGGCAAAAACGATATGGTTTAAAACATTTAACTGCGTTTGTTGTGCTCCATAGTTCTAGAATCTAGCCACTGTACGTTGCAAAAAAGGAGAAAGTAGCTGGTCTTTGATCATTATAGCCTTCAGAGCCTTTGCAATCCTGACGTATGGCAAATGGTTTTTGACAAAACCATAGTTGTTTGTATTAGCTGATGAGTTTATTTCACTGCTGACCGGCTTTGTTGATGCTGAGAAGGTAAATGTCAGAATCGCCAAAATCCGTTTTGCTCTCCTTCAACTTAAGCACTCTGAGCTCAAATTAACGCCAAAATACGATGATATTGGAGTACTATTTACTGGAGAGTTAACGCAGGAGGCAAGGGTACAAAAATGTAAACTAGATCCGTTGGTTTGACTGCATCTGTCGACCAAGATACATAGAATACGCACTAATAAATCCTTAAACAGAAACTACCACACATATTCCAAGAAAGGCACGGCTATCTTATTCTGGCTGCACTAGAAGCGCAGTTTCTAAACGATTTCTGCAGAACAACTACTTTCTAGTTCTCGCTGACGTTTTTTGTTTATCAATATTTCCAAGCAAAAACAAGCTTTACGGTTACAAAAGCAGCTTTAACTGACAGAATTATCCTTTTTTGTTTGCACAAAGAGAATAAGCCGTTGATCTTACATTTACTCAGTGGATTGTTGTTTATTTTTTGTCACACTCATTATTTACACCAAATTTTGGCAATCTAGCGACACGAATCTACAGCTGTTTTATTTCATTCTAGGTAGTACACTTATAAAACATTCGTCTGATTCTTTTTCTTCTTATACATTTCATTTTAAATTTCGCTCATGCATTTACAAATAAAAGCTGAGCGGCTTAACTTATTTATCTGCTAATTTTTAAACCCGATTGACCCCATCTCTCCATTTGGTTACATTGTGAAGCATAACATGAACTAAAATGCGTTCTTTAACCTTCAAAATCGAGGTCTTTCTTCTGTTATTGCAGAAGAAGCTGCTGCAATGTTATCTTAAAATTTTGACATTATCATCTTTTACTATGCTCCTTTCCGAAATTCAAGTGGACAGGAGATGTCCCACGCCCAATAACTTGTTGCACTATCAACTGACCTCGTCTCTCTTGCTGCATAAAAACCTTAGTTTTTGCGCTAAAAACTAATAGGTAAAAAATGAAGCTTACGGGGTGTTTTTCTGGCGTACAAAGCCGGAGGAAAACCACCTCAACAGACAAAAACTTTGTTCCCTAACTTTTAAGAAAAATGCTTTCTATTCTGAAATACGGATAATTAAATGCCATGAATTCTTATTTTTGAAAAGCCTTCAGCAATATTTTTATCATTTATATGTAAACGTTCGTACCGCCAAAGGAGAGTGATCACGTTAGAAGGCAAATTATGTACCTCCAGCCGTTGTCTTAGTAAGCCCGGAGAGCGCCAAAGGAACTAAGAACTTCAGAGATATTCTAACATGCTAATATGCTTAAATCTCATAAACGTACCAACATGCTCGCGCATTCAGACAACTAAAATCATGATAGCTAAAACATTCCATTTTCAGTAGCGTACACATCAAAATTTCGGCGACAATAAGTTGGTTTTGCGAACTGATAGCAAGTCAACGTGTCATCAGGTGTCGCAAGCCACCGACCACCCAATGCGCTGTTTTAAACACTTATTTGAAATACCATCTAAGTAGCGTACTCTTCGGTATCTAAAGCACTGCTGTAAAGTTAATGTGGCATGTACGTCCGAATAAACATTATCCAAAAGTTCGACGCCATCCCCAAATGCAAGCCTCATAATTGCAAAGTAACGGAAACCACTTCCTAAAATACATTAGATTAGTTGTTACAATGAAATTCGAGATAAGAAATATGTTATACTCATTAGTCTTCAAGCAAATCCATTTAATGCATTCAAGAAAGCATGATAAGCTTTTTTATTTTATTGCGCTGTCATTCGTGAACTCATACGACCCATCTTACTATTTTTCAATATTAGCGGGTTTTTGTTTACAGTACTGATCATATATCATTCTTTTAAAACCAGGGTTAGACAACAGTAATGTGCCATCTAATTCAGTATGTGGCCCTTAGGAAGGACAGCGCATGTTGTACGGTTGCTTAACTGGGGATTACGGCATGCCAAACTTGTCTCGTAGTTCCCGAACCAAAGTGTACATTGTATACCGGTGACCGTTTGAATGTCTTTACTACAATAGTTTGCCTTAGACAGGACAGAAGAAGCAAAGTACGTCGTAAGACGGAAGGTTTTTAGGTGAACTCACACCCGCATGTTGATAAGTGGAATTATATAAATTATTTAGTGGGTAAATTGCCCCTGCATCCGCCAAACAGTGATAATCCCTCCTGTGCTGCAAAGCACATGTTTTGAGCATCAATTTTAAATGGGAATTTCTGAGTACCTGGGAACCAAGCCAGTCAAATTCATTAGCGACGCTAGGAAACTCAATGTGAATTGAGTAAAATGTTTAATTTCCCTTGTAAATAGTCATCATCATTAGGAGATCAAGATTGGTTTTGAACTTTTATGCTTTGTTGCGTGACAATCATATTTCCCTTCAGGTTTTGCTGTGAAGTTGACTATCTTTTTTCACAAATTTTACTACAAAATCAATTCCAAATATGTCATTACCCATCAGACATAACTGATTCCATATTTATTGTGGTTTAGCTGTTTTTTTCAAACAAAATTCTATATTCTCATTTTGGACCAGAATTCCATCTAGTCGCTAAACGTAATTTGAGGGATATTAGTAGTCGTTGTTATCTTAAAAGCATATGGCGACCCAGTGTTTAGTTGCTGTAAACTTGTTGATACGATTTTTAAATATGGGCATTAATCATTCGCCGAATCGGGCAATGATACTTTACCGAGAAAACCAACTATCACTTTTATGACGCCGCTAGTTTGCAGAAAGAGTTGCCTGTAACCGAACTGTCAGGTTTGCTAAATTATCAAAACATGTAGCTGATAAATACCCTATGCAAAGTACATTGCAATTTCTCCTACAGTCTCCAGTGTATGTAACTCCTCGCTCAAGAAATTTTGAACGTTATCTGAATCGAGATAAAAACTCTCAAAAAGCTTCGTTCACTACCATCAGTTCCTTGTTTGGTGCATCCAGGACCTTCTTTATGCCATAATCGGAATCACATATTCTTCCAAGTATGAAGGCGCAGTTCATGCCACACCCTGGTATTTTCAATGAGTATAAACTTTAAACTTACCTGCTTCATCCACTCCGAGGCAGTTTATCAAATGTACAATGATGTCAGATATCTGTGGCTTGGTTATTATCATATGTAAGCCTGTGTCTGAGATGGACAATCTTTTAAATGATGTATCGTTATTTTTCTTAGCTAGAACATACCGAGCTAGCACCAGAGCTGCATTGCTGGAAAGCCACTTGTTTGAAGATTGCAATAAAATGGATATATGTTCCAACATTTTTGAAAAATCTCCTATGTTATTTAACAGCCATTCTCTCCCGTCATCAAACTCTGCCTTGAGTAAATATTCATGCCAATTGCCGGAAAACTCACAATTGTTCCAAGTGTCCCAGCAGCATTCAAGATCGTTTCAACATCCTTGGATCTTAACATAAGCACCAAGGTATCTGGAAAACTCATCCACCCTTTCGAATTAAACTGTGCAGCAGAATCAAGTATTCGCATACACCCCTGCTTGTTCTCAGCAAGTGAACCAAGGATATAAGCGGCATTCCCAGCTGTTCTAAAACACGAAAAAGAACACACAGATCCAAATAATTTATGTACTTGTTAGACAATGATTGCAACCAAAGCATTAGGTTGGCTATTATTTCTTCTCCATACTCACTACTCAGTAGATGTTCGGTAGTTGTGCGTTTGTTCGATTGAATATCGTCAACCAATTTGTCCAAAGCAGACATAGATAGCACATCATCTTTTGAAATAATTGAGTGTAAATAATCATCGGAAATCCAGTGCGGAAAACTCATGCTACTTGATGTGACCGATAAGGAACGAGGAAATACTCCCACGGAAATACATTACGCGGCATTGCTTTTTGAAAGGGCGCCAGATCGGAAGAGCAACGATTATACTGGTTGCCCTAGTAAACCTGTCACAGTTCAAGGCAAGACAAAAGCACATGACTGGCAACAATCCGAATGTACATCTCTGTGGATGATCCCCATTATCATATAAGCGCAACTATTCAGTAGCTAATGCACCGTCATCCTCATAACTGCAAGAGCCGTTGTAACAACTAGGCGCACCGCTGATGGTGAGGCATCAGGTAGGCATGGCAACCTGTCCAGTGGCAAATGACGGCCCTAATTAATGAGAACTGTACTCGTTGCCGCTTATCTTGGAAGCTTAGCGTAATTACTGGGTCGGTGTCTATGTGCAACGCGGATCAAGAGGCCCCACTTATGCAGGATAACCTAAAACGACAACCAAAAGCATGGTGACGTGTGCGCTGATTCACGGATTGATACACAGGATCGGCACTTTTGCCCAAGTTTCCAGGTTGGTTTTGTTCTTGTCGGTCAGTGGCTGTCGTTCGCCTGAAAGGCACAAGTGAAAAAAGGGTGTAGCACTGCTCCTAATGTTCTCAGTGCGGGGCAGTATGCTCGCCAGCGCAAGGATTCGCATAAA